GCCCGGCGTTCTGTTCCCTTTGCCCGTCCTCCTCTTTCAGATCCTTATAGGGTGTGTGGGAAAGAAAGACAACCAGAAAAAAGGAGGCTCACACAACTAACTGTCCATCAGTCGCAAGGAGCGGGCTGTAGCCCTCGTCAGCGGTGGAGACCCCCCGGCCCTGCTTCTCACACTGACCCTCCGACTCACCACCGTGTCTTCTCAGATGTTTCAGCACCTGATGCAGAAGCGGAAGCACATCCAGTGGACCTACGGGCCGCTGACCTCCACTCTCTATGACCTCACCGAGATCGACTCTTCAGGGGATGAGCAGTCTCTCCTGGAACTTATTGTTACCACCAAGAAGCGGGAGGTACGGGTCGTAGGGTCAGAAAGCAGCTGGCGAGGGAAGTCAGGGTCTCCGAGGTGCCCGCTCTATTGACTTTCTGCCGCAGGCTCGCCAGATCCTGGACCAGACCCCGGTGAAAGAGCTGGTGAGCCTCAAGTGGAAGAAATACGGGCGGCCGTACTTCTGCGTGCTGGGCACCATATACCTGCTGTACATCATCTGTTTCACCGTGTGCTGCGTCTACCGCCCCCTCAAGCCCAGGACCAATAACCACACTGGTCCCCGGGACAACACGCTCCTACAGCAGAAGCTACTTCAGGTGATGCCCTAGGGGCGGCTGAGCTCAGGGCAGGATTCAGCTCCCTGTCCTTCCTCAGCCCTGCATCGCTTACCTGCTCTCCAGCCCCCGTTTCTCCCCTCACCCAGCTCTCAATTACGTAGGCACAAACTCCAAGTACAGGCACACAGAAACGCACATATGCTCAAAGAGCAGTTTCAGAGAGCCCAGCCTACCAGGTTAAAAACAATCCTACAGGGCTGGTGACTTTATACAGGAGACACGGACTCGTGCCCAGGGACAGACGGGCAGGATGCATGGGGTCCCTGAGTGTTCTGACCCTGTTTTCCCTTCAGGAGGCCTATGTGAGCCCCCAGGATGACCTCCGCCTGGTGGGGGAGCTGGTGACCGTCATCGGAGCTGTGCTCATTCTGCTTGCAGAGGTGAGGATGGTCAGGATCTATCTAGGGTGAGGCTGTTGGCCCCAGGGACCCAGCCCGAGCCCCAGTCTACAAGTGCCTTTGTGTCTTCCTGGCCTCTCTCCAGATTCCAGACCTCTTCAGGGTGGGGGTCACTCGCTTCTTTGGACAGACCATCCTCGGGGGGCCATTCCACGTCCTCATGTGAGTCTCCTTGCTCTCCACCAATGCCCCCACTCACTCCCTGGATTCCCAACCCCTGGACAATCACTGGAGAAAATTAACTCCAGAGATCCTTCTCCAATGATTGTGTGCCCTTGTGTACTGAACTTGGGGAGGCCAAATGTGAGTGTGTGGGTGCAGTCCCCAGGACAATCCTGGTCTCTTCTCATTCCCCCTCTGCTCCCCACCCCCAGCATCACCTACGCCTGCATGGTGCTGGTGACCATGGTGATGCGGCTCACGAACGCCGATGGGGAGGTGGTGCCCATGTCCTTCGCCCTGGTGCTGGGCTGGTGCAATGTCATGTACTTCGCCCGAGGATTCCAGATGTTGGGCCCTTTCACCATCATGATCCAGAAGGTCCGTGCCCCCCCCCCCCCTCCGCCCCGAGCTTTCTAGAGAAAGGTCCTGGAGTGGGGGCTGCAGCAAACATTTTTCTGAAAGACCAGATAATAGATGGAAGATTTTGCAGCCACATGTGGGTCTCTATTGCATTTTCATTCCTTTTCCTCCTCCTTCTTTTTGTTTTCTCAATCCTTGAAAAATGTGAAAAGCATTCTTAGCTCAAGGGCCATACCCAAACAGTCCAAGGAGATTTGCCATGCAGCCACAGCTTGCTAACCCCTGGAGGGCAGAACTGTGGGACTTCCCGGGGCGAGTCCAGTGAGAGGCCGCAAGGGGCAGTTGCTCAGGGGACCCATGTGGAGGTATTTTCCTTCCTCTCCTCCCTTTAGATGATTTTTGGCGACCTGATGCGATTCTGCTGGCTGATGGCTGTGGTCATCCTGGGCTTTGCCTCAGGTAAATCATCTGGCCGGGAAGGGGCTGTGGGAAGGGGAGGCTGGAGGAGGCTGGAGAGCCCAGAATGCCTGTGGATAAATGTGGGGGAAGCTGGGAGGGAAGACAGGGATAGGAGGCTGTCAGGTCTGAGGACGGAACATGCCTGGAGGTGAGACAAAACTGGGAGTGCTTCCAGACGTGCCTCTTGGGATCAGGATAAGCCATACTGAAAATAAGGGAATATAAGAACCCAAAGCATGGAGTGTGGAAGGCTGGATGGGGACACTGGATGGAGAAGAGGGAAACAGGGCTGGAATGGGCAGCAAAGAGCTGGCCGTGGTCCAGTCTGGTATGTGGTTGCCATGGTAACTCTCACCCCCTTGGGTGGAGCAGCCTTCTATATCATCTTCCAGACAGAGGACCCCGACGAGCTGGGCCATTTCTACGACTACCCCATGGCGCTGTTCAGCACCTTCGAGCTGTTCCTCACCGTCATCGACGGGCCTGCCAACTATGACGTGGATTTGCCCTTCATGTACAGCATCACCTACGCTGCCTTCGCCATCATCGCCACGCTGCTCATGCTCAACCTCCTTATCGCCATGATGGGTGACACTCACTGGCGGGTGGCCCACGAGCGGGATGAGCTCTGGAGGGCGCAGGTGAGCCCCCTGGTGGCCGGGAGGGCTAGTGCAGGCCATTCCCCGCCCCCGCGCCCCAGCCAAGGACCAAGCTGAACTTAGACAGAAGCAGGATATTTTGACCCCACGTAGGTTTAGACGGTTTTACTGCGCAGGACACAAAATAACGCAGAGTATTTGCAATACAACGGACTAATACCTGAACAGCTGAAAAGAATTCATCATTTTCCCAAAAAGTAAAACCTCAGGCTTTTCTAGAAGAATCAACAAGAAATACAACTAATGGTGGATGGAAGTGCATTTAGGAAATCAGTCTGTAAAACCTGACGCAGAAAATTTGGACAGGTTAAAAAAAAAAATGCTACAAAAACTTCCCAGAGGAGCGGAAGTTATCTTCGGTCAGATCATCACGATGGAGACAGAAGACCATTAAATGAGTCAAAGCACCGTTTAAAAATATACTTAGAAAATAATTTCTCTCCACAAAAATAAAAATGCAAACCCCCCAAACTGAATGGCACTTTGCTGTGCTGTGTAGAAAACAGAGTTAAAAGGCCCTAGGTTGGCTAAATGGGGTTTGCTCAGGAAAATAGGTTTCCATGCACATGTCCTGATACTCGATTTCTCAGTAGGGTGGTAGCATTTATAAGTGGCCTTTATGTCTGTAGGGTCAAAATATCCTGTGGCCCTGAGGATCCCTTTCTGTCTGCTTTGCCCTCTTTCCTGTCTCCTTGGGGCAGGGTCCCTCAACCTCCTGCAGGAGCTGCGCGGATGTCGGGTCCTGGGGTAAAGAGCTGTGGGCTCATGTCCCATGGACTCTGTCCCACAGAAGAGGGTCAGCCCAGCTGACACCCCGCACCCCCCCAGCTTGGGGGTGTTGTCCCCTCTTGGAGGCCATGAGCTCCCGTGTTTCCTAGCTACTGCTACACTGTCCTTCCTCCGCCCGACGCCCTCTCCTCTTCCCGCCCTCCTCAGTCGATTTCTCGGTCAGCACCCCACCTCTGATGGCCCCTTCGGCCCCCACACGCAGGTGGTGGCCACCACGGTGATGCTGGAGCGGAAGCTGCCTCGCTGCCTGTGGCCTCGCTCGGGGATCTGCGGGCGCGAGTATGGGCTGGGGGACCGCTGGTTCCTGCGGTGAGTTCCTGCCGGGCTGGACGGCCTCCTGCTCCCGGGGCCCTGCGCCCGTTGACCCGCGTTGCCCGGAGGTCCCCCAAGGGATCCCCGCTGTTAAGGGACGGGCCCCGCTAGATGCTCGGGCCCCCCGAAAGCCGCCGCTGAGATGCCGGCAGCTCCCGTGTGCGCACTAGCCGCAGTGGTGGGAAAAGGCCGGTCACGGTGGGATGGGGTGAGCGGAGGACACGACGCGGGCGCGGGTCCGGGCCAGCCCATCTGTCCTCGGCTGCCTCTCACGGCCTCGCGCTCCACAGGGTGGAAGACAGACAGGATCTCAACCGGCAGCGGATGCGGCGCTATGCACATGCCTTCCACATCCCGGGCTCCGAGGACTCGGACAAAGCCTCGGAGAAACTGCGGCTGGACCACCCCTCGGGCCCCCACCTGTGTCCGTCCACCCCCTCGGTGTCCCGAAGTACCTCCCGCAGCAGCGCCAACTGGGAGAGGCTTCGGCAAGGCACCCTGAGGAGGGAACTGAGGGGCTTGGTCAACAGGGGTCTGGAAGACGGGGAAGGCTGGGAGTATCAGATCTGAGCCCACTCTGCCTCTGGCCCCAGCAGCTGCTCTCACTTCCCCGTGGGGGGGGGGGGGTCAAAAAACAAAAACCAAACACCCCTCCCCCGTGGGGGGGGAAGGAGGAAGGCACCCCCCCCCCGCCCCGCCCCCTTGAGGAATGCGGCTGAGGAATCGCTGCCCCAGGTCCCCACTACTCGTTGGGCTCAGGGGGCGAATAGAAAGCAAGGGGGGAGGTGGCCCTCGCCTCACCCCGAGCACAGGGCTGGTGCCAGTGAGGACGAGGCTGCGGGCTCTTCGGCCTTACTGGAGTAGTCTGCACTGTCAGAGCAAAGCACTTTAAGGACAGGCTTGCCACCTCTGCCCCAGGGTCATGGTGGGAAGGGGACAGCCCTTCCCAGGGTGCTCCAGACAGCTGGGTGGGGGGAGGCACGTGGAGAGCAGGAGTGAGGGGGACAGGAACCGCTTCGGGGGTGGGGTAAAGCTGCTTGAGTCTTGCCACCTTCTACCTGCCAATAAAGCCGTTCCCTGCTCTGCTTCCTTGCGCATTCGGCTCTGCCGTGTCCCCTTCCGGCAATGGCCCTGCGCTCCTTCTCCGAGGCCTTCCCAGCCCTTCCTCGCAGACTCAGCTCTCACCACACTTCCAACTTGCAAAGTCTCTTCTTTCCCTTTAATGCGGGGGAGGGCGGAGGAGGGCAGAGGAGGACTGGGGAGCGAAGCGTCCAGGGGGTTGGGTGTAGTGAGGCAGGCGCCTCTCGAGGAGGCCAGGACGGAGACTGGCTCTGGTCTCGCATATCGCTCCTGGGACCTACGGCCGGGGCTGTCCAGGGCATCGCCCACGCACAGCTGGAGCCCAGGCCTCAGACCTCCACTGAGCCCGGCTGCGTCAGGTGCTGCTGAAGGAGTTGGATGTTGTGCAGCAGTTTCTTCTGGTGGCCAGCCAGGGTGATGCCCAGGGCAGGCAGGTCTCTGGTGGGGAAGGAGTGGATCAAGTCTGGGCCCGCTTCTCTAAGATCCCAGGCATGACCCCTGGCCTGGGCCCAGAGGAATCCCCACCCCACCTCTCTCCCTGCTTACTCCAGGCCGAGCTGGACCACATCACTGAAGGTGCAGAGGCCAAACTTGGAGAAGTTTTCTTGGTAGCACTCCAGTCCAATGGCCAAAAGCCAGGCCTGGGGTGAGTCCAGAGAAGGAAAGTCCAGGGCCACAGGGTTCAGAAGGGCCTGGGAAGGTCTAAGTGAGGGGAGGTGGGTGTCAAAGTCTCCCCTTCATCTTAGCCCCCTCGCCTCAGTTTGTTTTCAGTTTGTATCTACCCTCCCTGGTTGTCCCAGGCTCCAGCCCCAATCTGCAGACCTGTCCCCAGGGCCACCGTCAGCCTGTAGAGTGTCTGGCTTTCGGATCATCTTGTCAAACGCAGTCACCAGCTGGTCAAAATGGGGCCGCTGGGTACGGTCCTTCTGCCAAGTGTCTAGCATGAGCAGATGTAGTCCAGGAGGACAGCCTGGAGGTGGGGGAAGCCGGAACTCCTGTTCTATTGCATTTAGCACCTGGGGGTTGGAGGAAGACCGTGGTGAGGAGAAGCTACTGCTAGTGGAAAGAGTATCTTGTTGGTTAGGTCAGTGGGTGGGCTGGGATCAGGCGGAGCATGAAGCTGGAGCGGGGAAGGGACTTAACGATACGGAAGCCAAGAGAACTTCCGGTGTGAGCGGATTAGAGACTAGAGGCTAAGAACCTATGAGTCTGTGAGGCTGGTGGATTGGAAGGATGGGGGCGGGGGATCAGCAGTGTCTAGGTCAAGAGCTCACCTCCTGGTCACTCATATCCCAGTAGGGTCGCTCTCCATAACTCATCACTTCCCACATCACTATCCCAAAGCTCCAGACGTCACTGGACGTTGTATGTTTTCCGTGAGCGATGACCTCTGGGGCTGCCCACCGAAGCATACAACTTGGGCCCTGAGGGGTGGGGTTAGAAATAACAGCAGCAATAATGATCTCAGTGGCCACATTTATTGAGCGACTGCTATGTGCTCACATGTCTGCCCGGCGTTCTCTCCTGGATGGAGCCCTGGTGAGCCCCATCCCTTCAGACACTGTGATATGCCACGGGTGGTTCAACCCTGGGTCCCAGCTGGGTCTCCAGCACCCTCTGGAAAAGGCTGAGCCCCCCAGGCAGTGCTCTCACCTGAGGACTGTGGCCAAGACGAGCCACTTTGCACACCAGGTGGCTATTCACCAGCACGCTGTGGGCAGAGAGGGCACGGTGCACGAAGGCGAAGCTGGACAGGTACTGCATGGCTGCGGCCACTCCTCGCTGCATGGCCACCAGCTGCAGGCTGCTGAACTGGCCCTCCCGCTGCTGAGGGGCAGGGTGGGCAGAGCTCAGCCTCCAGCAGCGGGGTGGGAAGCCTTGACCTGCTGCACAGCCCAGCAGGTATCAGCATGAGAGGGAGCGGGGATTAAGGAATCAGAAAATGGCCTGGGAAGGAAGGATGAAGACCAGCGGGGGTGGGGAGCAAAGATACAGGGCTCTGTCTCCTGTCTCCGAGACAGCTGAGAATTGTAAACCTCCCCGGACCCCAGGCTTCCCCAGCCGCGCCTCCCGGCCCCCAGGCTGGACTGACCCTGAGGAAGCTGTCCAGGGGACCCAGCTCCATGAGTTCCGTCAGCACCATGAGGGGCCGGCTCTTGGTGACCACGCCCTCCAGCCGCAGGATGTTGGGGTGCTGGAACTGGCCCAGGACTGCAGCCTGGCCCAGAAAGGTCATCTGGAGGCTCTCGGTGCCTCCAGCCCACAGGGCCTGGATGGCCACAGCCTGTTCCCGCCGTCCCCGGGGCTGCAGGCGGCCCCTGCGTACTTCACCAAAGGAGCCTGGGAGGACAGGGGCAGGTCGGGGAGTATGGAGGAAGGACTGCAGGCTCACGGTGTCCTGCCCCAGTTTGAAGGGATCCCGTCCCTTCCATCCCCTTCCTCTGCCACTGCACACCTGCCCCAATGACCTCCTCGATCTTGATATACGCGGGATCCACCTCCCTGGTAAACTCCCGGATGGCCTGGCAGGGGTCCTCGTACGTGGAGGGGTCGATGTAATACTTCACCCCAAGTCCTGTGGGCAAATGGGGCATGTCATGAGGGCGCGGTGCAAGGCCAGGCTGCCCGCACACGGTGTTGGGGGGGGGCGTGCCCTCTTACCTACAAAGGCAGGGTCAAGGGCTTCCCCTCAGCCTCGGGGGAAGCTAGCCTTGCGTGCTGTGCTCAGACCCCCCCCCCCCCCCCC